TTGAGCCGAGCTGGCTAAGTGTTAAGCTGAGTCAAGCGGCACAGTGGGGCAGTTGCCTTATAAATTGTACTCGTGCTGACCGTATTTGAGGACTATTATATAATTCTATTAGTAGGACATGTTAAATCAAGAATTTTGGCAAAAAGAGAGAATAAATAATAATAAAAATGAGATGATTTGTAAAGCAATTAATCAGTTTAATACGCAGACTGAACAAAATTATTCTAATATTGCAATATTGTATGCAGCTTATAGAGAATGGATTAAATAAATTAAATTCGTAGGAATATAGTATAACAGTCCTGTCTTTGTACGCCAGGGCGGCGCAAATTAAACACGATCGAGTGCTATAGCAGTTACCTTCGGTCTGTTATTTTGTTATTTTCGATGCGTGCAAATAACTACATCTTTGTGTTTAGATATTAGAAAGAATTTTGAAATTTACATACTTCCCCTTATAAGTGAGCTAGTTGTAGTTTTTTTAACTTCCCATTAAAGAGCAACGTAGCATGCATTTACATACATATTCTTATTTGCAATAAGCCCCAGACCAGTGTGCTTAAAGCGTACAACTTGCAAGCAAACGTGGTTTCAACTGTGTTGGCCCGGCTGCTGCTGCTGCTTGGCTTTCGGGCAAAAATTTTGTGTTGCTGCTGCGATGACGATGACTGGCTCAGGTTGTTGGTAGGTTGTTGGTTGCTGTTGCTGTTGCTGGTCGGCCGCTTGCTTGGCTCATAACCTGAAACTTGAATATTGTGGAATTTGAAGGTAGCAGCAGCAACGGCGGCCGCAGCTACGAGCGGCAACATTAACAACAACGACGAAGAGGACGTCGACGACGACGATTCTGCTTTTGTTGTTGTTGTTGTTGCTGTTGTCGTCGTCGTCGTCGTCATTGCAGCCGACAATCAAACAGCAACAACAACGACAGCAGCAACAGCAATAACTGCAGTCGAGCTTTAGACTCAGCCGCTTTTGCCAGCAGTTGCCGTCAATTTGGAGCCAGTCGCCAGTCGGTTGTCTCGTCGTATGTTGTGAGCAGTCTCCGCTGCCGTTGCTGTTGCCGCTGCCACCACAGCACCACCACCAGCCGTCCAACAACGGCAACAACTAAAACGAGTTGCTGGCGAAGCGTAAAATGCTGAAAAAATAAAGCAAACGACATGTGATGGCAATGGCGGTGAGGCGAGGTGGCTGGCTGCCTGGCTGGCTGACTGGCTTTTGTATGTCTCTCTGTTTAACTTGGCTTTGTGCTGGCTGGCTCGTTGAAACTGGCTGGCTGGCTGGCTGGCTAGCTAGCTAGCTGGCTGGCTGACTGCTGTTGGTGTGGCAATAAAATATTCACCAGAGTCGCAATCTCTGAACGCAACGAACGTAGCGGCTCAAAATCATCTCTAGCCTCGGCTTGAAGATGACTTTCGGCCGCTGATTGTTACCGCTTTGCGTAGATGTTGCTGTTGTTGTTGATATTGCTGCTGTTGATTATAATGATGGCAACACTTTTTCCACACACCAACAACAACAATTTCTCCACTTTTGTAACAGCGAGAGAAAAAAATTAGCGTAGAAAGTTTTTGTGGTATTGGTGATGGATTTGAAGTTGAATTGAATTTCCGTTTCTATTCGCATGCTGTTGAGATGTGAATGTACTCGTAATTTGCTAGCGAACCAGCTGACCTTCAAGGCACATGGCTGGCAACCCTTGCACTTAGCCAATTGCCGTTGACTACCCTAGACACTGACTCTAACTACCGGCACACGTTGCGTATGCGCAATGTGCCTGTTAAAATGCTTGAAAATAAACCCAGACATTACACATACGACGTGTGCGCGTCGTTCCTACGTTTCCACTTTTGGCATTGTCATCAGCAGCAGTAAAAACGCAAACAACAAAAGCAATGAGCAATCATTGATGATGATAACTAAGCACCACAAGTAGCAGCAACAACAACGACAACAACAGCGATGAGCACATGACTCAACCAGACACGAACAACCACCACACATTCATTATACAGTCGAGCCGACATCGACATGAACGACGGCGACGACGACAACGATGCCGACGATGGTGATAAAGAATTTTAAACCGTTGACCAATTGGCGCATGAATTCAAACCACAGGGACTTTAGTTGGCTAGCTAAACCTTTTAAGTACTTAGTATTGCTGATTCTAATTGGAAATTTACAATAGAATACCAAAAAGCAATTAACAATAGACACATTTTAATATCAGATACCTTTTGATAAATTCAGATGAGGTTTTGAACAATTTGGATCCCTGAACCACTCAGTTGAATTGAATTGGAATTGGCTCTATTAAGGGCTTCGGCATGTGAGGAAGTGTTAAAGAATAGAGCGTCTAAATAAAAAGAACCGTCAGCAGTTCCCTTCTAAAAAAAGGGAACTTAAGCTCTAAATTAATTTATTTAGTCCCTTTATAAATATAAATATATATAATGTAATTGTAAGTAGATCAGTAAAAATATTCGTTGGTTTATTTTGAAACATTACAACTAAAAGATTATCTGTGCTGAAACAAATTCTTTAGCTATATAGTTTTGGAGTTTTAAATGAATAATTGATTTCTATATAGCGAAGGACATCAAAGTTGTAAATTTGTTCGATCAAAATTTGCATGAAGGCATGATATATCGTATATTATGGACACAGATATTATCATAAGTATCAATAATCCCACTTGAAAGCGGAGAGCCAGCACCAAGAAGATAGACGATTGGGACAGCCCTTAGTTGGTCATATGCTCATCTTACAGACTACCCAACGATTCCACAGACCTTACTCAGCCCCCATGCTAAATATACAATGGACGTTGCATGCAGCTCGGTAGCATTGAAACCCGAAATACAGCTGCAGACAAAACGGGGGATGAAGCGATGAGACAACACACCAAAAGCAACACAAGGGCAAAGGCATGGCATGGCAGAGCAGGGAAAGGCAAGCAGCGACAGCGGCAGCCGTTTTCAGACAACAGGCAGGCAGTCAGGCAGGCAGTCAGGCAAACATGCAGACATTGCAGGGCAGGGCAGGGCTTGGTCTCGGTCCCAGTTCCGGTCCCGGTCCCGGTCTTGTTCTCGGGCCAGACATTGAGGAAAACGTGTGCAGTGTGTGTGCAAGGGAAAAAGGCAAGAAAAATGAGAAACACATGCGACGCAGCGACGACGACAGCAGCAAAGGCAAAGGCAACGGCAACGGCAAGAACGAAAGCGGCTGCGGCGGCGGTGGCGGCGACGACCTCGATGACGATAACAAATAAGACCGAAAACTCACCCCGATGCGTGGCGGGTCATATTCATTCCCCCCTCTAATAGTTAATGCAGCGACAGTCAGACAGAACGAACGACGAGCGAGCGAACGAAATATGCGAGCATATGGCAACCCTTATAAGTACGAGTACGAGAGCGCGTATGTTGATGACAAAGGCCGCAGTTTACAGTACGGGGAACTCTGAAAACACACAGATGTTCCAACTTGAAATTTTGTGAAGCGGCAATCGCTGCCAGAGTTGCTGAGTTTCTCTCTAGATCAGGTCGATGGCAACACTGCAACGGGGGAACTTGCACACAGAACGTTAAAAACACGAAGGTTCATGCAAATATGTATTTAGCTCAAGATTAAATCAATTCTGAAACACAATGACAAACAACAACTGATTACCAGACTCTATATCTTATCACATTTAAATCGTACTTTGCAACCCCTTTAAACAATGAAAGACTATCAGCTAGAAGTGGGGTGGGTTGTCTAAGTCCAGTTGTGATCGACTAAGATCGGCTAAAATTCCTTAGTTGACGATCACTTGAAATCAGAGATATTCCTAACGACCTAACTAGCTATACGGTTCTAATTTTGTTTGTATTCTCCAGCACCCTGTTGGGTCTAGTCCGTAGCCCTACTGGAAACTACTGAAATCAAACAGCTCGCAGCTTTATTGTTCAATTCTTTCATGGAAATAAAGTAGAGAAAACCCCAAAAATAGTTTCAACAGTTAAATGGCGGAAGTGAACGCGATGCTAAGACATTGAAAGCGCCCAAGCAGCCCCGTTGTTGTCGTCTTTGGTACTTCAGATGCTACGTTGCTGGCTCGGCGACTTGTTTTATTTTAAGAAGATTTCGAGATGCGTAGGAAGTGGTTGGGAAAGCGGGGAGGAAATGGCAGGCGGTGGCGTTGATGAGCAATGTGCCAGCTGGATGAGGGCGATGGTGATGGCGAGTGCGAGTGCGACGTTGAGGGTGATGGTTTGGGTTGACGATGAGTATGAGGATGAGGGTGGTGGATGCCGAGGCTGACTGACTTGGCTGGCTGGCTGGCAGGCTGGCTGGCAAGCTGACTGGCTGGCATTCTCATTTCATTTTCGTTCTGGTGGTGCAAAGCAGAGGCAGCAAATAAGAAGAGGAAGACGAAAATGCGCAGGATGATTTCGTTTTGGTGTTGCTGATGAGTAGGATGGTTGGATGAGTGGGTGGTTGGGTGGTTGGGCTGTTTGCTCGTTCGCCTACCCGCCTGCCTGCCTGCTAGCCTGCCAGCAAATGTCGCCGTATAACATTTTTCGTTGGCTGTTTCATTTTTTTTGGTTGCGACACGAGGGGATTTTTGCCTTTTCTTTCTGTATTTTCCATTTTCTTGATAAGTTTTTTGCCTTTGCCCTCGCCAATGTCGTTACTGTTGTTGGTATTGCTGGCATTGTGTCTACGCCGTGCTTCTTTGTTGCTGCTGCCGGCATGGCACGTTGCACGTAGACAGTCCTGCCCGTCTCTCGTCTCTCGTTCCTTGTCTGCTGACATTGGGCACAAATTGTGCGAGATGTTGGGGTCTTGAGGGGTAATAATTTATGACAGACATTCAAATTTTTGGCGCCAAAATGGCAGAGCACGCACACACATACACACATACACACATACATATAGTAAATAAGTACTCCAATATAGAACTCACTCACTAACTTGGCCAATTTTCACTTTCGTTCTTGCGCTTGCAGGTGAATTCAGCAATGGGTCTTCAAGCAACAGCCGCTACCAAGCGGAAGCATGAGCTGACATTCGACTCCAAGGATGCGAACACCACCTACACGAATTGTGCACCGCCGCCGGTGAAGGCCAACAAATGGGCGATAAACAACAATAACTACATAGACTCGCTCGAGGAGGAGCGCGATCAATTGAGCAACGGCACAAAGCTAGAGGAGGAGTCCAACAACAACTGCAACAGCAGCAACAACAACAACAACAACAACAATGTCGAGCAAAAACCAACGTCCATGGAGGAGCAGCAGCTTGCAATTAGCAATAGCAATAGTATTATTAGCAACGGTGATGAAGTTACTAAGCCAGCCAGCCAGCAGCAGCAACAACAACAGCAACAACAACAGCAACCACAACAACAACAACAACAACCTGTAACTAGCGCGCTCAGTGCTCTGGTAGCGGGAACTCAAGCCGGCACATTGAGCGCCGCAGAGGTGCCGCTGTCGCCGAGCTCAAGCAGTTCAGTGCCAGAGGATAGCATTGCCAAGCTGGAGGTGGTTGCGGCCATGCCCAGCGAGCCCTGGAGCACCGCTACGGCGGTGGTTGCTGCCGAGCCAGTCGATTGCATCTCTAAGCTGCAGGCTGTGGCCGTGCCCAGCGATCCTTGGGGCAGCATTGCTACGCGCTCAACGCTGGCAACCACACTCCTGAGCGCCGATGAGCTCGACGACGACGACGATGACTTCGAGGACGACTACGAGGAGGAGGAGAGCATCATACCCACTTATTGCCCAATTCGCTACCATCCGTTTGCGACGACCACGCATCAACAGCAGCAGCAGCAGCAGCAACAACAGCAACAGCAGCAACAACAACAAGTGGCTCAGCAGCAAGTGGCGCAGCAGCAGCAGCAAGTGGCGCAGCAGCAACAGCAACGAATCAATGGCGCTTACTCCCCAACAGCTCACAGTTACGGCTCGCGCCCCAACTACTACTCCGAGCCCTTTCCTCAGCAGAACTGCTCCCGCACAGGCAGTCCGCAGCACATGCGCATGCCTAGTGGTTTCCCACCGCAGTGGCAGGCAGGCGGCGCCAGCACCACCACCCAGCAACAGCAGCAATTCTATGAGAACGGCTACGCATCACAACAACAACAACAGCAGCAGCAGCAGCAACAACAGCAGCCCGCACAGCAACAGCAGCAGACGATAAGGTGTGCAGAGAATGGGAAATCTTACCTGGATTTGGGTAGCGCCAGCGTGCCTGTGCCACCCGCCGGCAACGTGCCGCTGCCCGCTGCAGCGCCGGGCAATTTTGCGACTGGCATGCCCCTGCATGTCCATCCCGCGGCGCTCGATGCGAGGCACGCCATGAAACGCTGCTGCGACGGACGCGGCAATTGGTGCAACGCCAATCGCAATTGCTACAAGGACACACGCTTGAAGATCCGCAACCTATCCATGTTCAAGCTGTCCCGCTTTAGGCAGGTGTCGGAGCAATCGCTCTACCGCTCGGTCCTGATCTGCAACACGCTCAAGCGCATCGATCGCGAGATCGAGGCGGAGGCCAAGGAGCTCCATCAGGCGGCGCAACAACATCACCAGCAGGCAGCAGCAGCAGCAGCTGCCGCCGCCGCAGCAGCTCAATATCATCCAGCCTATCAGCAGCAACAACAGCAGCAGCATCAACAACAACAACAACAACCGCCTCTGCTGCATCCACTCAGCCAAGCACCACCCGCACCACAGCAGCAGCAACAGCAGCAGCAGCTAGCACAGCAGCAACAGCAACAGCAACCACCACAGCTGGATTATGCGCCTGTGCTGAATTGCGCGCGCCTCGCCAACATGGATCACTATCAGCAGCTGCAACCACCGCATTTTCCGCCACCACCGCCTGGCTATTTGGCACAAAGTGAACGACTCGATGCGCCACCCACTGCCTACAATCCGCATATGCAGAAGGCAGCTGGCCCCAATTTCGCCACAGCGCCGAGCCATATGAATGTTGCCAACGGCAACACGAGCAACAGCAACAGCAGCAACACGAGCAGCAACAGCAACTGTGATACGAACGGCGCCGGCAGCGGTACGAATTTGCATCCCTACGATCATTATCCCTTTCGGGAGTCACAGTCCGGACGTGCCACGCCCTTCCCCAACTGCCCGCCCCCCGTAGTTGCTGCCAACTCCAGTAATGTGAGCAGCAGCAACACGCCGCCCGCTGCGTCCGTGGCAAGCAGTCTGCCAGCATCCAATGTGACCTCCAGCAGCAGCAGCAGCAATGCGGCCAGCTCCAGCACTAACAACAACAACAACAACAACAGCAATGGCAGCAGCAGCAGCAGCAACGGCACTTTAAGCAGCAGCGGCAGCATCCTGAATGGCAGCGGCAGTGGCAGTAGTGGGAGCAGTGGCAGCAGCGTCAGTAGTTTGGGGAACCCGAGTGTGGCCATCAGCACCTGTGATTCAAGCGATTCCGGCTATGCGGATGACGATTCGACACGATCCATCAACTGGAGTTCGGTGCTCAGTCTCTCCTCGCAATCAGCGCTGGATCCGTTGAACAACAACGATCTGTTCTCCATATTGCCCGCCGCCTCATCGCCCACAGCGGTGCCTGTGAGCAGTCCAACGGCGGGAGCGGGTGCTGCAACGGGTGCCATCTCCTCATCCTCCTCGGCTGCCACCGTCGCCTTTAGCGGCACATTCACAACGGTCCAGGCCAGTTCCAACTCGAGCGCCCTCAGCAGTCAGAGCAGCAGCAATAACAGCAGCTCCAGCACAACGGCCACCTTCACCACACTGTCAACCATTTCCTCCGCGACCCACTCGTTGACCTCCTCGTATGTGAGCAGCATCAGCTCGAATGTGTCGGCGGGCGCCAACACCTGGGAGTACGGATTCCTCGATATGGAGTTCGGACTGGGCTCTGAGTTCACCGAGCTGGTGCCGAGCTGCAAACTGAGCTCCGATGAGCTCTTCAAGAGTGGCCTGAGCGGTCCGGTGGCCACCTCAAGGTTCGCCAACGTCCATGACAACGAGCTCGAGCAGCCGGCACACATAATGGTTGGCAGTTAGTATCAGTTGTAAGTCAACAACTACAATAACAACAAAAACGGTGCTTTAACTTGACGGAACGATACGGCTGGACCGTTCAGCGTGCAGGTCACGCCTGATGGAGAGTGTAGCCGAACGGTACCCGAAGGTATTTCAAATAAATGGCCAACCAACCAATTCCGTAGAACTTCGAACTATGCTCAGGTTGTGAAACACTCACTACAAATGGTGGAACATGCTTAGTGGAATGAATGGATGCTTGCGGTGATGATGCAACGATACCTAGACGTTTCCTTATGCCCCGCCCCAGCAAACAAGCAATCGCCACGAATCGGGCGGTCGAACAGCAACGCAAAGTTTCTGTGCGAATTAAATATAAATTAAACAATTTAATAAAATGCAATTACAAAACGTAAAAGAATTCAACTAAACGGAATGGTGTGAAAACCCATGAAAACTATTAGCAAATTTTTTAAGTGTAAATATTGTAAATGTTAATGCAAAACAGAAAGAGAAAACTCGTAGTCTTTAAGTTCGAAAGCAAATTATATATTAGCGCGTATGACATCTAATTTAAGCTTTGTTAGTTGCAATTGTTGCAGTTTTTCGATTACAACAAACAAAAACAAGGAAACCGATCAAGTAAAAGCATACTATAGCAAAAATGATAGAGTGTTGATATGCGAAATCATAGCACCAAGATCAATTATGTATCAAAAGAAAAATTAAAGAAAAGAGAACTATTTAAAAAGAGTTTGTTGAGAAGCAAAAATCGAAGAACAAGCAAAAATGTTTACTGTATTGTAGCATTAAGTATTATTATTTATATACAAAACAAAAACCAACAAGTAATTGAGAGAACAACTTAAAACAAAGTTTTATAAAAAGAAAAAAATTTACAAAAAAAAACATAAAATGCAAGCAAATATAAAGAATTTGTTAAAAAAAAATACTCTTAAAACTCTTTCATTCCTTGAGTATGAAGAAAATTGCAGATTTAGCCAATCCTAGATTCGATGGTTTTATGGAAGAATCTGGATATGCCTGAATCCACAAAGGCAATCGAAACAATTGAACTTTGCTTTGAAACGACAATAATTAATGAATTTTAAAAATGGTTGTAGTCCTTGCCGAATTGAATCAAGTTTGTGTTTGTGTCCTTGCTACACTCCTAAGTCTTATCAGCTTTGGTTCGTGTATTCGCTAAATTTCATTGAGCTTTATGCACATTTGGTTGTTGTGTCAGTTGCTCAATATAATGCACCGTAAATGAGAGCTTTTAAGCTGCGGGTTGCTGTCTTCACTGATGCAACACTTGAGTTAAGATAACTAGCTTTCGGCTTGTGTCCTAGCTATTTCAAGAAAGGTCTTCTTCGGGATGTTGGTGTGTGTCTTTGCTAAGGGAAATTTGCTACTCGACTTTAATGGTGGGTTGTGGCTTTACTAAAATTGTACTAGCTTATACAAATGCTTCGCAGCATTTGCTTTGCAACAAGTTGCAGATTAATTACGGGCGCAACTTATAATACTCTTATACTAATGCAGCATGCAGCGAAGAGGCTTGTTGCTAAACATTTCAATGTAGCTAAGCATTTTGTTCAATTAAAGATACTTCAACGTTTAATTAATAGCAATGTTAAGTATTTTGCAACTACTAGGCGAAAGGTTCGTATTTAACAGGAGGATGGTATCATCTCCAACCTCGGTAATGAAGTCGCTCTTTGTTTACCACAAAAATTGAAACAAAACTGATTCGTTTTAATTCCTATTAATTACCAGTAATTAACTATAAAATGTCTTTATTTTACTATATTTACAAATACATTTATTAATTATTGTTTCTCTATTTCCAAAGCCACAACCACGACAGCTGCTTGCAAATAATAGGCAGAGATTGCGTTTATGGCTACAACTTCCTCTAGAGTTGACCTCGTAAGTATCACAATGAAACTTGACATAAGGACATAAGGCTCAAACAGGAAGTAAGGATGACGTATTAAGAATTATGAGTGTACTGTTAAAGCACTAATAGCGGAGGCTGTGGGAGCTGCAACGACAAAAACACAAACTTGTCCTGCATAGGAGTATTTACAAGTATTTACCAAGTTATGCAAATGTGGCGGATCGTAATACTGTTTAAGAATACAGTACGATCTTGGTAACCACAGCCCATCGCAATTGCTCGATTTTGTAAACTCTATAAAACATACTTAGCATTGTAACCTTTATAAGTGCAACTCCTCAAAAAAAAAAAAAAAAAAATAGAAAACCTCTATAATTGGAACTTTATATGTGAATACCTACGAGTACGATTAATTGGTTTTATTTTAGTGTTTTTTGTTCCTTTCCTCCTTTTTGATTTTTTGATTTGATTAATACAACTAAAAACTCATCAAAAAAGAGAAATTTTAAATACAAATTTAAACATTTAAATGTGAAATATCCTTTAAAGTTATTTGTAATGAATTTATGTCAAAAGTTACACGAATTTGGCAGAAATATGGAAGAAGGGCCAGGTAACATTGCAACCTTTATACTAAGTGGAACTTCTCAAAAAAAAATTAATAAATTTAAATGTGGAATATCCTTTAAAGTTATTTGTAATGAATTTATGCCAAAAGTTACCTGGATCAGGTAAACAGCATAGAGATAAAAATCATATGAAGAAATGGTTGAGGCTCTCAACCAATGGTTCTTGAAACTAAAACATCAGCATATGCCAATAACAGATAAGTTCAAAAAAATAAATTATCCAGTAAATAAAGTTAATGATTTATCATGTTATACTTTTTTCCTCGCCAGATACAACTTCAATGAATGCAACTACACTGGTTTCCTTTAGTGTCGATTACCCAGTTCGTACTGTATATGTGTACTTTGTGGAGTCTTTAACCAAATTTGGTATCTAAACTTGGCTGAATTTTTTAAATTTATTTTCTGAGTTTTCGAATCAAATGTATTACTATTTAAAAAATCGTTGTTATTTTATAAAAAATTAATAAGCAATACAGATTCACTATTTAAGATACGTTCGAGTACTTTCAGAAAATTCGAGTTTTCCCACTTATGTTAGGCGTGTTTTTTATAGCCTGTACCCAAAGGGTGAAAGGCTATACTAGTTTTGTGCGCATGTATGTAACACACAGAAGGAGGCGTAACAGACCCCACAAAGTATATATATTCTTGATCAGGATGAGAAGCCGAGTGGATATAGCCTTGTCCGTCCGTCCGTCTGTCCGTATGAACGCAGAAAGTATAAGAGTTAGAATAACCAAACTTGGTTTCCATATTCTCCTAAGACCGAGAAAGTAGGAGTTTGAGTTTTTTTTCGATGCACCCCCCACTCCCCCGCAATTCGTGTTTTTTCTTATAACTTCCGTAATTCTCGGAATTTTGAAATCAATTTTGGTAGGTACATCCAGTTAGTACTAATGTGTCCGTATGCCAAATTTCATCATTTGAGGTAAATTCTGAAGAAAGTTATAGCCATAAGTAAAATCGCTGCTCATGCGCTGCCTGCAGCTCTGTCGGCAGCGCTGCCCGCAGCTGTTGTTATTGTTGCTGCTTTGGTTCAACTTTGTGCTGCATACATACACGCATATATATGCTGTTAAAACTGAACATAAACATGTATTCTAATTTAATTTAATTAATTAATTAATTCATTCATTTTTTTTAATAATTTAATTTTTTTTTTTTTTAATTTTTCTTTTTTGTGGAGAGTACAGGCTATTTTACGGTCGGGCTTGCTCGACTGTGGCGTTCTATCTTGTTTCATGTTCCATTCGTGCCTTTTTGGAAATAGTAATAAGAAATACGTACACGCAAGTGCATGCTTACAAAAACACGGCCCATGCTCACCTCTAGATATGATACTTGCGTTTTGTTAGTTTAAAATTAGTTAAATTAAAAAATATACACGTATAAATTTTAGCGTCAAAGTCAAATACAAAGTGTGCGGTTCTTTATCAGATTTGATTTGAAATTAAAATAATAAACAGTACCCTTATTGTATCATTTTACCCAACACATACTTATTTGTTATGTAATTAGATTTAACATCTTTGCACGATTTTAAATTTTGTAACCAAATATAAATTACAAAATATTTTCAAATGAATGCGCGGAATTTAAACCGACGTGAAAAAGTGTTAAAAAGTAAATGTCGAGACTATTTTACTCCACTATAGTTATTTTAAAGCAAAACGTCGGTTTAATGGTGGCCGGAATAGTTGAAAACGATCGCGAATACTACATTTCAAAAATTAGCAATAACAGTCATTTTAGCACTCAGAGTGCGCATGCTTAGTGAGAATGGGAGAGTGAGAGAAAAAAAATGGTGGTACATAAAAACACGGTTGGCATTTGCAGGTCCGCTATTCGGTGTTCTCTCGCGGACGTCACACACTGCGTTGTGTCGTAGCTATATTCTTTTCATTCTGATGTTATGAAGCTGGAAATTATTCACATTGCATATATTTCCACTGCGTCATGTGTTTATTGCTGGTGTGGCATTGGGAAATTCCATTATTCAGTTTTCATTTTGCCTACCTACATACATACATATGTAAAATATCTGTCTTTACAGTCTGTTGTTAAATATTTGGATTTTACTTTTTTATTTCATTTCGAAATGTACCTATTATGCACTGACAGCTGTCAAATGTGTATAAAGTGGCACCCAGCGTGCGCGTTGCATACACAGAGAGCGACTGAGCGAGAGAGAGCGGAAATAAAAAGTTTTAGCCGTTAATGCCGTAGCATGTAATCATTGTACCATGAGCAACAAGTGCGCTGGCGTTGGCGGCGTCGTTCAGTCGCTGAGTCTCTTTTGTGGCGTGCGGTCGTGCTTTTTGACGTGGGGTCTGTTGCGCGAAGCGACGGCATTGTTTATAAATTTTCATGTAATCGTGTGAATATTTCCGTGTATTTGTGTAAGTGCGGAGAATTGTTGTTGTTTCAAGCGTGTGTAAATGCCGCATTATTTATGCGAACCAATTGAAAATCTATGAAATGCAAACCAAACAAATGAAATGTGTGTGAAAAAAGATAAACGCCTGCTGGAACGAAGGTGAAAAGGCAAAGAAACAAGAAAAAGAAGTTCTACCAGCAGCAGCGGCGGCGTAGGTTGTAAAAATAGTTGTCCGGTTGGTTGTTGTCCGTGTATACATATGTATATATGTACATATGTATGTGTGTTAGTGAGTGTGGGTCTGCCTCTTGTATGCGTATGAAGAAACAATTAAATTATAAACTAAACAGTTCAATTACAATTAATTCGGAATGTATTTGAATTACATTTTAATTACATTCTGTGTTTTGCGAAGTAGTTGATCAACTCACAGTAACACCACCACAAGTAACAACTACAACAACGGTGAACTTGCACACGCAACAATTACAGTAACAATTGATGAGTCTGTAGCTGTTGTTGTTGTTGTTGCTGCTGCGACTGCTAAATGGCGTAATCTTTTTGCCCTCTCTTTAATGATTTAATTAAAAGCGTAAATTGCAAGCTCGAAATTCAATTTAAGCGCTGACACTGGCTTGCATGCTTGTGTGAGTGTGTGTGTGCATTGTATACATATGTGATTGTTTGCTTGTGGGTGCCGCTGCTGCTCTGCCGACGTTGACATTGATGCAGCGATACCGCAAAGCTAACTGTGCTTTTATTTTGCTACGTACACACAGCACACATTCACACTTACACTCGTACATACATACGTGAAACGCGTGCCGTTCTGTGGCAACGCTCCAATTTTATAAATATGAGAAAATT